TACTTTGTGAGCTACTGACATTAAAGTTGTGAGCAAGCGATTTGGCTGCTGCATAAATCATTTTGCTCTGGAGCCATCCTTCCTGAGCTGAAACAAAAATGTGTGAGCTGGAGGCTAAAAAACTGTGAGCTAGTTCACACTAACTCAGTTTAGAGGGAACACTGATCCCATCTCTGCACACCATGTGCTCCAAGTCACAAAGCAACTCTTTGTCTCTCAAGAGGCAGCATTTCCAGGTGTCATAAAACAGACAATGACGAGAGGAGGAAGGGAGAGCTAAGAGAGCAAGAGCTAAGAGAATCACTTCCATAGTGATCAATAGAATTATACCCCAAGCTAATCACAATCAGCTGTGGCCATTCAGCCAATCATGAGCAGCAGGGGGGTGTGGCCAATTGTTGATTGCCATAGCTGCGTGTGGGGATAGGCTAGAAGTTTGGAGGCCCTACCTGCAGTCAGGTGACCCAAGCTCCAGCTTCACCATGATGTACGTGACATGGCCCATGTAGCCTTAAAGCAGGAGCCTTGAAGTCTGGCTCTTCCACTTAGAGGTGTTAAAGAACGTGTGGTTATATGGCATGGCTATTTAGGTTGTTCAGGCCATTTGGTCTGCCCTGGACCATTTGGCCTGCAACAGGAAACAGAGACACAGAATGTCATCACAGGAGAAGGCATGAGACTTTTAGAAATCAATATTTCTATACAAATACAGCTACAGCTGGAAAGATCCATGTATGTTCTACGTTTCCATGGAATACCTGAAGATAAGAATGAGGACTTAATGGAACTCTTGGTGGTTGCCTTGGCCCCACTAATGGATTATAAACAGGAGACTTAATTAAGGAAATGGATGTGGCGTACAGGACTTATCCGGATTTTATAAAGAAAAATAAACTTCCAGAGGAAACCTACTTAAAATTCACAAAACGATCAACCCAGAGACCTGGTACTAAAGTCAACAATGGGGAAATCCTTAAAAATCAAGAATGAAGAGATAAAATTTTTGAAAGACATGCCATTTGAGGTAAGAAAACAGAGGAAACTATACATGATGCTTACTCTCTCCCTGCAAAAAAAGGGAACACCGTATAAATGGCTATTCCCGGAAGGGCTGAGTTTTAATTACCAGGATAAAAAATATAAAATTGACTCTGTTTCAAAAGCAGAAAGATTTATGGACCAAATGTTCAATGTAAAAAAGAAGCAGAAGGAAAAGAATCTAAAACCGGCTGTGGAGGAAGAAGAAGAAGAGGAAGAGGAGTCCTACTCACAGGACTCAACAAGCCAAACTTCCTCATCATCAGAATCATCTGAATCGGAGAAAGGAGCGGCCACTTCCAAGCTGCAGAAAACGAAGAAATTCAAGAAGAAAAGACTCTAAAACTAAAACATGAGTGTTAAGGGCAGTAATTGTGCCAAGCTAATAACTTTATATTTTTATAATCGAACTAATCTCTGTATAACCTGTACTAATAGGTTAAAAAGATCTATTCTTTTAGCTTTTCACATTGTGATTTATATTAGTCTTTACCCTATTCCCATATCCAGTAGGAGATTTAGAATAGAATGTTAGTTTTCCTTCCCCTATCCAGTAGACTATATGTATCTAGATCTCCCTGACCCATTTCCCATAGTAATAATGATAGGGCATTAGTAGTCCTTTCCCCATCACATATCTGTAGTGTGTAGTGTGTAGAAAATGCAAAAATTAAAAAAAAAATCCCCTTCGGGGGGGGGGCAAAAACAATAAAAAACAATCTGTTACTGAATAATTAAGTGCACTGAGTAATAAAGAGTGGAAAGATCCCCACCTCACTCGCCTGTTATCTGTGGTATTGGACATTCTGAGATTGATTCTGTGGAATGTAGGTGGTAGTTAGACTACTAAATACAGATCAGATATGTCTTCCACACTATCTGGGGCTCCAAAGAAACAAAGCATTATCTTCATGTAGATTAGGATAGCAAACTTCAAACATGTTTAACTTTGCAAGAATTTCTTCCACTACCAGTTTAAAATTACAACGTACCACAATCACATTCAATCTGAGGAAGAATTTTGGGTAACTTGAATACTTGATACCAAGACAAATACACTGCTTCACAAAAGTATGTGATTTGAATTATCCCCCCCCCCATACATACGGGAAGAGATTCAAATTAAATCGTATTTCAGATTTAAATTGTTTCAAAGGAACATTTGATCTCATACTGATCACTTCTTAGAGAGCCAGTTTGGTGTAGCGGTTAAGTGTGCAAACTCTAATCTGGGAGAACTGGGTTTGATTCCCCACTCCTCCACTTGCAGCTGCTGGATGACTTTGGGCAAGCCATAATTTTGACAAAAGCTGTCCTTGAAAGCAGTTTCTGTCAGAGTTCTCTCAGCCCCACCTACCTCACAGGGTCTCTGTTGTGGGGAGGGGAGGGGAAGGGAAAGGAGTTTTTAAGCCGCTCTGAGACTCTGAGTGAAGGGTGGGGTATAAATCCAATCTCTTCTTCTTCTTCTATTATCGCATTACATATTTTGTTTTAAATTTTTTGGATTTTGTTTCATAGAAGAGTCTTTTTTTGTACTATTTCCTTACTATTTCCTTTATTCCTTTATTCTGTACTTCATGCTCACAGACCAATGGGTCATAAGCAAACAAGTTTGATAGTCCATATGGTACAGAATAATACAATCCAAAAATACAGAAAAAAACCAAGCAACGAGAAATACAAAGTACAATGAATAAAATATACCATTACGGATATTAAAAACCATTGATAAAAATTTTGCCACAGTTTTGCTTGCGTCAGTATCAGCCAGAAGCTTTGTAACTGCTTCTTCTTTAGTACTATTATTCTTCATGCTTCCAATCCAGACATCCACAAATTGTAGGGGGGGGGGGCGTACCTGTCTTCTGGGTACCTGTGAGTTCAGTTCCATCACAATTTCAGTAGAATTTATATCTAAGGAAGCAAATGAGGATTGCATCCTTAAATAGATTGCTAGTTGTATTTAGTCACCTAATATTTATGGTTAAGACGCTGAACTGCAGGCTGTGGAAGGTCGGTAGTTCAGCAGTTCGAGACCCGAGTGTGCCATATGATGGAGTGAGCTCCCGTCTCTAGTTCCAGCTCCTGCCAACCTAGCAGTTCGAAAGCAAGAAATTGGAAGTAGATAAATAGGTACCACTTCAGTGGGAAGGTAACAGCATTCCGTGCGCCTTGGTGTTTAATCATGTCGGCCACATGACCACAGAAATGTCTTCGGACAGCGCTGGCTCTTCGGCTTTGAAATGGAGATGAGCACCGCAACCCTAGAGTCGGATTCGACTGGCTTTCAAGCAAGGGAACCTTTACCTTTACCTTTTAAAAAATCTAATAGATGAATGGATGGCTTCCCTTTCCCTTTTGGGTGTATAGAGTGAACCAAATATTTTACATTCAAGCTCAAAATACTTTTGTGTGCATATTTTTTAGATTCAAGAGACTCAAAAGTAATCTTTCCCCTCTAGGAAGAAATATCAAACATTTGCACTATAAAACAGACTTTGTTTCATACCCACCCAGAGCATAACACTTCATGGTTTTTAAGGGCCATATGAGCTGATGAAAACTTGCTCTAAACATTGTTTCCACCCCAGCTGCACCCAGCTGCAGGAAGCTGTTATTTGCACCAGGAAAGGGCAATGACTGCTGCAGTAGTGGGAGGACAAATGGGTGAGCAGTGTGCTTCTTTCTCTGCCCACTTACACTCTGCCCCTGGCCCATTACTGCCACCTCTTCTGCTGCTGCTGCTAGGAATGAAAGCGTCTTGCAACTGAAGAAGTGGGCTTTAGTCCACAAAAGCTTATGCTGGGATAAAATTCTGTTTTTTAGATTCCTCAAGACTCCTGTTAAAATATAATACTCAAAGTTCTGCATATGCAGAAGCTATGATGGTCTGGCATTCACCTTATTTCGTATGTTATTATCAGGTAAAGATTATAGCTGCATCTCAAGCAATATCTTCTGACTTGAACAAACAGAACATCATTGGTGGATTCAGTATTTCTGGTTGCACCTGTGGAAATAATAATATCATTGCTTCCTGATAGTTTACATCGTGTATTCTTTTCATGCTTGTAATCTCAGAACTGTCTGAATGGTCTTTTGTCTGTCTTTCAGCTTAATCTTTTCCCTTCTTTTCAATTTAACTTTCAGATGGATGCATGCAGTCTGTCAAAACTTAAACACAGAAGAGGAAGTAGAAAACACAGCTGACAGTGGTTTTGACTGTTCCATGTGTAGGCCGTATATTCCACCAGCAAATGGTAAGAAATTTCTCCATGGGATATCTAGCACAATTGCAGAGCTTTTCAGCACGTTTGTATCTCTCTGTGGGTTGCAGTTACTGAATTAATTGCCGAGATGCTTTTTTAAGGAAGAATTTCACTGGGTATGCTCTACAGATACAGAAGGAATGGTTGGATAGAAACATACTGGTGGTCTCCCGTCCAGGCTGCTGAACACCAAATGGGAAGAATCATATCCTGCTCCTTGTTCAGATCTGGGAGAGAAAGAGTATTGAATCTCTTGAGGAATACTTTAGCATTGGATTCGGTTTTATTTTGTTAGGATAGATTAACACAGCTACCCCAGCGGAATTATCTTCTGTGGTCAGGTAACCATCTCAAGATCTTTTCAAGTGTGATAGTATCAAATCTGCATATGAATTCCAGCTCAGCAGTTTTTCTTGTTGGAACTTTTCAGCTGAAGTCCTGCAGGCTTTAATTGGAATTTCCATGGTGTCTAAAAGGCTCCTCTACTGGTTTCTCCTTGTTTCTGTTTTTCATGTCTGATGTGATCAATTTAATCTTCGACGTGGTCTCTGTGCCTCACACCCATGGGATCTAGTGCGCACGGGCTGGATTGATCGGCATTGTAGCAAGCTCTTTTAACGGATTTTCGTGCCCAGACCTCGGGCATGCGCAGGAACCCCACTGCGCATGCCCAGAGGGGAGGGCGCGGACATCCCGCCAGTTCCTTTCTTACCACCGCGTTGGAAAGACCTTTTTCTTCATCTGTCTGATCGGTTCGCGTGTTTTGGCTTTTTGCCTCACGGCTCTTTGGATTTTTTCCTCAGTTTATTCCTTTTCTTCGTTGTTCTTTCAAAAAACTTTAAAAAAACACCTTTTATTTTCTGCTGAGGGGGAGGTTGCCGCTTTACCTCACTTGGGCCTTCAGGCTACCCCCCCACCCCTTCTTTCTTCTTCATTTTGGTTTTTATGGAGAAGAAGTGGGGATTTTTTAATAGGTGCAAGGGTTGCGGTAGTAAACTTGCTCCTCCTGACCGTCATACCCTTTGCATACTTTGTCTCGGAGAGTCTCATCGACCCGAATCCTGTCGCCAATGTGCTTGCTTTTCAAACCAGACCCGAAAAAACCGAGCTACGCGCCCTTAAGTAGCAATGCTAGAATTGGCTCTACATCCTTCCTCAGCAATGGACGCTGAGAAACCATCGACCTCAACGGCTCCGGCATCGAGACCTGCCTCTGATATCGGCTAACTGACACCGAAGCCTCCGGCATCGAAGGCGCAATCCTCTGCTTCCACGCCAGTGAAAAAAAAGTCCAGGCCAAGTAAGGAGCAAAAGTCTGCAAAGAAGGGCTCCTCCAAACCCCTTAAGGTGGCAAAGGAGGGGAAATACCGTCCCCCGTACCTGGTCAAGGTCTTGGCAGAGGCATGCGCCACGTCGTCAGTCTCCAGACAGACAATGGAGACTGCGTACGTCTTCAGGAGGTCAAAAACCTCCATACCAAAAACCGAGGTTTGGATCCGGGCAACAATCCCTCCAAGCAGAGTTTTTTACTTCCCTGTCACCGAGTCAGTTCAAACCCGTCTATCACTCTTCCTTCATACTTGGCGTCACATCACCTCGGACGAATGGGTGCTGTCAATCTTGACCCGAGGCTACCGTATCCAATTCCACCAGAACCCCATTACTCCTGTCGTCGTCTCCACAACAACCAAGATTACGCGGGCTCCTCTCAAAGACATGCTGCCACTTTGTCTCCAAGACGTCCACGGTCCAGAAGTCAATCCCTGCGAGTCTTCTTACCCCCGCCACCACCTCTGTCTTGGGATCAACGACAGATGAGGTATCTGTATGGGGCTTATCCACCATCCTTGCCATGGCTGACTCCGGTGAGCTATTCCAACTGGGATCGATATTCATCCCACTCTGCTCATAGATCGAGATCGCCCTACAGGTCGAGACCTTCAGCATCTCTCTCGTCCTCCTGCAGACGATCCTGCCCAGCATAAC